CTGTTGGAGTAGTGACAAATATCTATTCAGCTGTGTTATATTCTAATAAGCCTGCTTTATTGTCTTTATTTCAAAATTTACAAATACATGTTCAAAAAAGAAATCATTCTTATTTTATTACTCATTTACGTTCTCATTCTCAGTTACCCGGACCATTAGTATCAGGTAACAATGCAGTGGATTCCTTAGTTATGTTCACCACACCCGTTAAAGAACATCAATTTAATCATGCAAATGCAGGACATTTGCATCTTAAATATAAGATACCTTTTACAAAAGCTAAACAGATTGTAAAAGCTTGCCCTATTTGTAGACCATTACATTTAAGAATTATTCCCGCAGGTGTCAACCCTCGAGGAATTCAACCTAATGAGTTATGGCAAATGGATATTACACATGTACCTTCTTTTGGTCGGCTTTCTTATGTACATGTAGTTATTGATACCTATTCTTCATTTCTATGGGCCACTGCTCAACAGGGAGAATCCACTAAAAATGTTATTGTACATTTATTGGAGACCTTTACAGTTATGGGAATTCCTTCTAAAATCAAAACAGATAATGGACCTGCTTATACTAGCAAAACATTTAAACAATTTTGCGATCTCCATAATATTATTCATATTACAGGGATTGAATATAACCCCCAGGGTCAAGCTATTGTTAAAAGAGCACATGACACTCTTAAGTTACAAATTAAAAAATTAAAAAGGAGGAGTCAGGAGGATATTCAGATACCAATACTGTTTAAATTGCAAAACAGTCCAAAAACATTACTGCATCAAGCATTGTTTATTTTAAATTTTCTCAATTTACCACAAGGTGAAATATTAACTAGAGCTGAAAAACATTTTGAACAGCAACAACAGCCCTTTGTGATTAATGAACCTATTTGGACTAAAACAGCTCCAGAGGCTGAATGGGAGAGGGGCACATTGCTCTATAAGGGGAGAGGTTTTGGTTATATCTCCACAGAAAATGGAATTCAGCAGTGGGTCCCTGGACGATGGATCAGGATCCGCGCCTCCAGACCCTGTTCGCCAGCCCCGGAGACAACTCCCCAAGGAACCGAAACCGTGCCTTCAGAAGCGAGCGCGAAACCAGCTAGAGGCTGAGGATGCTGAGCTTGTTCCTATCGCAGCCATGGCCAGATTAAAGCTAAGAAAATCCCGCCGCTCACAGCGACCAAATTTAAATCCCCTCCCTACATGGGGACAATTAAAGAAATTGACCATAGAAGGGCAACGGCTTGTCCTTCAAGCAGAAAAGCCTTTAAACCCTAAAAACTTGTTTTTAGCTTTATGTGCCTTGCTCACTGTTGCGTCGGGGACTGAGGTACCTCCACATTCGTACTGGGCATATATTCCAAATCCCCCTTTATTAGAACCTGTAAAATGGGGAACTAGTGATATTTTACTTTATACCACACCTAGAGAAATTTTGTCAGCACCGTGGGCTGATTTAACCCCCCACAATCAAGATGATGGGACATTATTCAATTTTACTTATTATGGTAATCAAAGGCCTATTTACATTGGGGAACCGCCTTGCATCCCTCTGGGATGGCAGTATTGGATTCAACATGGAATAAAAGCAGGCAACAAAAGAACAAGGCTTCAAGCCTTGGCTGCTCAAACCTTTAATGTTACCTGGAGAAATTTAACAGCACCTGATACAAATACATTTCCTGTATGCCCTGAATTCACTTATAAAAATATTTCTTATAATCCCATAATTTGGCAACTATGTATGGGAAAATTTGCTAAAAATATTGATGGGTATATTATTTGGGGACCATTTGGAAAATTCGTTAATGGATGTGCTGAATGGAATGAGACAAGATGTAATCTCTCTGTTGTGTATAGTCTTCCAGATCCAAAGAAAATAACTGACGGAGCTCCTATATTTCATCAAAAGACGGCTCTCTTGTGGTGGGGAGATGGTGAAATCGCTAACCCTGCTGTTGCAGCCGAAGAATACCCTCATCACCTTCAAAATCATATTTGGAAGATTCCAGCCGCTATGCAACCTGTAACCTTGTACAATGTTTCCTATTCAGGGACTAGTCGATCTGTATCTACTACTTATAATTTTACTAGGTTTAAAATGTATAATATTACTGTTTGTGCACCTCTGCCTTATGTCTTTTTAGTGGGAACTTTTAATTTTACACATTTTTCTTGTACTTGTTTAAATTGTCAATTGTTTACATGCTTAAATAGCACACTAAATTTCACTAAGCCTTATACAGTTATGCTGTTACAACAAAAAACTCATATTTGGTTGCCTATAAATTTAACTCGACCATGGTCTCAAGACCCGGTAATTTCTGTTACTACTAAATTTTTTAAACATCTGTTAAAACGTACAAAAAGATTTATTAAAATAGTGGTTGCTGTACTGTTAAGTCTGATAACTGTAGCCTCCCTAACAGCAGTCTCAGAAATAGCTTTACAAACCTCTTTACAAGAAAAACATGTTGTAGAATTATGGCATGAAAATTCTCATAAACTTTGGTTAACTCAGTGGCAAATAAACGCCAGACTACAACAACAAATAGACCTCCTTAAACAAACAGTTGAATGGATGGGTAGAAAAATATTGGCTCTTCAGCATCAAGTGTTTTTAAAATGTGATTGGAATTCAACTACTTTCTGTATAACCCAACGACCTTATAATCAAACAGAACATGAATGGGAAATGATTAAAATGTATCTAAATGGAAACACCTCTGCCCAGGAGGAAATAGAATCTTTGCATAATCAAATTGACAAGGATTTTGCAAAGCAAAATGATGATGAATCCCTAGCACAATTCGCGCAATTGCTTGCTCAATCTTTGAAAGGATTAGATTCCAAAGGAATCTGGCAGAGCATAACCCACACTTTTAGTGGCATGGGACTTAGTTTAATTATAGTTCTCATTGCCATAGTTCTTGTATATTTTTACTGCATAAGACGAAATACTATTAATAACCTGATCTTATGGAAATTGTTGTTAAAAAATAAAAAGGAAGGAAGTGTGGGGGATGAGGTGTCACTTTGTAGGCCCAACCCCCTCTAACCTGCAATTTACAATAGCCGCCCTGGTATGCGAGAAGGAGGTAGAATAGAAATGCCTGTTCTTAGTGAGCCCTCACCCTCTGGAATCCATACTGTGAGCTGGCTTTGTTTTGCAGAAGTCTTGAGGAAGTGGCTGGCCACCCTTTGTGACACTAACAGCAGACAAATTAACAACATTCTTGAGCTAATAAATTTCTTCCTGGGCTAGAGAGGTTATGAGAACTGGTTGTGATTATTTACCTCACTTAGATAGCTTTAGAATAAACATTGTAGTCTGTCACGTTGTAGCTTGCCACAAAGAATGCCTTTTCACTACTTAATTATCTGGGCTCTGTGAACTGATCGGGTTTACTATATATGAATCCTAAAATAAAGATTGTGCGTACAGTGCAGTGCAGTGCAGTGTAACGCGGTGCAGACAGCAAAGGTGTCTCTCCTGTCTTTCTTTTCCAAGCGCTGTACCCCCCGTATCCCGACAAGGCGTGCGTGTGTGTTTACCTTGCCCGGAGTTCAGAGTGCCCTAGACACTCACGACACATATGTACATATATGTACATAAAAAGGATAGTTACACTACTGAGCTCTCCGAGTTCACTGAAGAGATCTGTTCTGGTATTGTCTAGACAGCTGAATGCAGGTGTTTTGTGCTCCGAGTGAATGATTTGGGGATGACAATGAGCAATGTATGTACCACTGTTGCCCGACTGATGTGTTTTGAAATTTTTTTTTCCCTTTGAAACAAACTGAATTTGAAAAAAGGTGTGGGGGGGTTATCACATCAAAAACCCTCTGCACAGCAACAACCTACAGAATAAAATTGTCAACTGTCAATAGAGGACTAGTATCTAAAACGAACTCAGAATTAAAAAACCCAAATGACCAAAAAAAGGCAAAGGAAACAAACACTTCTCATCAGTGTGCATGGCCAGTAAGCACCCGAACAAGATGCTCACCTCTAACCACGGGACATCTTGCTCTAGTGCGAAAGGCCAGCACATGTCGGTGAGCATATGGGGGAAGAGAACCTTCCTCACAGCTCCCAGGACCCAAAACTGTCAACTGCCACGGACACCAGGGTGGAGGCTCCCCAGACACTCCAGGCAGAAACCCTGAGCGCCAGCAGCCTGGTCCGTCACACTGACACCAAGTCCTGTGCAGGGCCTCGCAGAAGAGGTGCAGTCACAGGCAGGACAGCAAAGCCTTGAGGCTGCACCAACAGCTAGAGAGCAAGTGAGACAGGTTAAATATTGCACGGTCTTTCATGGGAAACCCAACAAACAGTAAAACGGGGAGACAGGAAACAGAGAGGCAGGCTTCCTGGACAGGGATAGGATGCGGGCACCCAGACTGTGGGGAGCGGCAGCAGCAGAGGCAAACCGTATGCAGGGACCAGGGCAAGGCCGCTCTCAACATCAGAACGCCCCGGAGGCAAGCAGGCAGCTGAGCCAGGCAGCGTTTGACACTCCACCTCCCCAGTGCATCAATAAATGCATGGCAGCCACTGGAGCTCTTCACTCCTCCTCCCTTCTCATCAGCAGAGAGCTCCAGAGGCCATTTTCTGTACTCCGACTCTTGTCTTTTTTCTCCATCCTCCTGCCGTCCCTAACCCCACCCGAGCTGCAGTCTTGCTCTGCAGGTCTGCTGAACTTACAGCAATCCTCCTGCCTCAGCCTCCTTCAGCCTCTGGGAGAGCTGGCTGCCTGCACAAGCCCGGCTCCATCTTTTCACCTTGTTTCTCACGTAGTAACTCCAGAAGGCAGACCCAGGTCTCAATTTTAGTCCCCTAAAATTTCCAGACTCGAGGATCACCGTGAATTGAAGGTAACTTGCATCACACAGTGAGTTCAAGGCCAGTGTGAACCAGAGATGAACTCTACCACAAAAACAAACACCCAAACCTCAAAAGTGACACAGAAAAATGATGCTCAAAATAGTGTATACTGTACAAATCCATAAATTTTATTAAGCACAAAGTTTATTCTGAATAAACTTCTATAATTGCTGAAAGATAATCCCTACTTAGCTAGACATTTAATTATCCAAACATAAAACAGCCAATACAAAAATGTACAATTTACAAAGCTGTATAATAACTTAGTATTAAAACTAGACTGATACAGTCTGTCATATCTCTGCAAGAGAACTACCCAGTTAAAAGAGTTAGGCATTTTTTTTAAGTGGGTAAAAGAAAGGATGCTTCAAGGCTTCTTTGAGAGTAATCCTTTTCGCTGGATCGTACTCCAACATCTTCTGAATGAGGTCAAAGAGAAGCTCATGTTCCACGTCCTGAGAAAGCATGAATTCCTGAAAAGGGGAAAAAAGTCAGACATTTCCCCACTGTAAAGAGGGGCAGAGAGCTCAAGGCCCAGGTTCAGCTCTCAGCACCAAAGAAACCCAAATCAAGAGATGCCCAGCAAGGAGGAGAACCAGGGCCTGGGGCTCCCTCACCTTTAGGGGTTTGCAGCGGCGGGAGACATATCTACCAGCAGAACTGTGCTCGTCCCAGTCCAGGCGATCATGATGGAAATATTTACGTTTCCTAAAAACAAGTAGACATCCATTTATGGTTACAATGTCAACATCAAAAACACCAGAACAAATAATCAAGTGGTAGTGAAGGATGGTAGTAAGGCTTAACTAAAACTCACCTGGTTTTCTGTATCATATGTTTCGGTAGAGGTCCAAGAATTCTTTCCATCATTGCTAAGTGCTCCTTACTATCATGTGTCTAAAGTAAAAACAAACTTTTAATCTCACAACAAAATGTGTGTCATTCTCATCTATCAACGTCATTCTGTAGTCCACAGACAACAGCAGTGAGACCTACCCCAAGCATGAAGAATAAACTTGTCAATGATTTCCCTAAATGGACAAGGACGACTGTGCACCACCATATACTCGTTTTAAAGTAACACACAGTCTAGCTGGGTGTGTAGGCCATGCCTGTCACCCAGCACACTGGAGAGGCCGAAGGGTCACAACTCGAAAGCTAGCACAACACTGCCTCCATTAAACAGGAAAGAAATGTCTAAGGTAACTACTTGACTTTGCGGCCTCTTACTGATCATCTGCAATGAGAAAGAGCTGCTGTCTAAATACGCATGTATGTACGTTCTGCCCACGTCTTCATTTACACTATGAGATACTTTAATGTGTCCGGCCACAGAAACAGATGTCACTCACCGGAAACACGGTAAACCCAAGGTAGTACTCGATCAGGATGCATCCTATGCTCCACACATCACATGGCTGCGACCACCCTAAGGCTGCAGAACAGAGCACACAGTCAGAGGGAAATGCTCGCAGCTTTTCAGAAATGATGAGACCTACTTTGGAACACTCTGCTTAAAAATGTATTTATACTGAGTTAAGGAAAAGATCCTAAGGCAACCACCAAATACACGGTGCACTGCATTAATCTTACGCTAGGGATTTGTAGACATCTGGTTTCGAGTATCAACTCAGACCCAACTTTGGGCCTGGGGACTTGGGGAAGTTTCTGGGCTTCTAGGTACTGCTATGATGGCACCAAACAATTGCACTCCAAGACCATAGTCACGCACTGTCCCGTGACAGTGAGATTGCAATGGAGGCAGAAAATCCCTCTCCCTGATACCAGGGCACCCACATCACAGTCTCTGCCAACACTGGTGCTGACAAGCCTACACTCTAGTTGTAAGCACAGGATGTGCTTACACATTACAGTTACTACACCCATTCAGTGTACATACTTGTGCTTGCCCAGTGATGGCCTCAGTTCGACCTCAGCAGCACCCTCATGAAGATGTGTGCAAGCGAGTCTCTCACCTGCACCATCTTCTCCATCTGATTAATCCTGTTCTGTCCACACCCCTAGGGATCAGCTGCTCCACACCAACCTGTCCGTGTGTGAAGCGAGTGCCAGGCTATCTTCGAGTGTGCTGCGCTGTGTGCACAAATCTATCCAAACACCCCCCCCCACCCGACTACCACATATGTACAAGTGATTCCAGAAAGGTAAAGCTGCTTGCTCAAAGACCTAGCTAACTAGAAAAACCCAAAGCCTAAAGTCCTATAGTTTTTAATTCTGATCCCTTCAAAAGAAAAATATTCTAAAAAATCTACAAACAGCCAAGTGTGGCGGCATATGCCTGTAATCCCAGCACTCTGGAGGCTGAGGCAAACATCACTGTGAGCTTGAGGCCAGACTGGGCTACAAGGTGAACTTTTTTTTTTTTCCTTTTTTTATTTATTTATTTATTTATTTATTTATTTATTTTTTTTTTTGTCTTTTTCATTTTTGTCGGTACCGGGGATCGAACTCACGACCGCCTGCTTGCAAGGCAGGTGCTTATGCCGCTGAGCTAAACCCCCAGCCCCCTACAAGGTGAACTTAAGACCAGCCTGAACTACACAGACGCTTTCTCAAAAAAGAAAAAAAAGTAGAAAAAGGTCCTACAAATAAACTGGAACTATAAAGGACTGTACAGTAAGTTCCAGTAAAGAGGCTAAGTGTAACCAACAGCCACAGACCTAGAATAACTTCGGGCGCGCGGTAATGCCTTGTGGACACCAGCGTGCTGTGATGCTCGTCATCGTAGGTTGCGCTTCCAAAGTCCACAACTTTAATGTCTGGATTTATTAGGGTGCGTTCATCACGCTTCTAAAAATCATAAACAGTCATGAAGACAAAATATTACGACAGTTATATAAAGCTAAGAAGCACAAGTACTGAAGACTTACCATTTTGGGATTATATGCTTCTGTGTAATCGGACTGCACAAATAAGATGTTTTCAGGCTTTAAGTCTGTATGAGTCAACTTATTACTGTGCAAAACTAAGAATGAAACAGAAAAGTTATTGCAATCTAAAAATAATCCACCCCTATTTCTTTCTTTCTTTTTTTTTTTTTTGGTCTTTTTCCTTTTTATTGGTACTGGGGATCGAACTCGACAGCCTGCTTGCAAGGCAGGCGCTTATGCCACTGAGCTATATCCCCAGCCCCCCCACCCCTATTTCTTACAATATCTGGCAGAAGTCAGGAACATTTCAGTAGAATTAAAATCTGTTCCCCTCCAAGTCCCCAAACACCTAACCATTCAAAAACCAGAATACAACCAGGGACCTAGCCCGTAGCTTAAAACCCTGCATGGCAACTGTGAGGTCAAGAGTTTGATCCCTGGTATAAAACAAAAAAATCCAGAATACAAACTTCCTCTGGTGAAGCTGCGATTTGCCATTTCATAATTTTTTAGCCAGATTTACATTCCTATTTCTAGGATTCTGCTGAGCATGGTGGCAGCACATGCCTGAACTGCACAGTGACACCCTACCTCAAACCACCCTCCCCAAATTTTTTTTAGGGCTTAGGATGGCCAAGTCTTATCTTCAACATATTTTTGTATGGTGTAGAACATGCTACTATTGAATGAAACACACTGCAGAGCATCCATCAACTCAGTCTTGTATTTGGTCTGCCACATCCCCCTGCTACTGTCAAGTGATCTGAAACCCTGGGCCACTGCCCTGCCTCAAGTACCCCTGGTATTCAGGAACACATACACCTTTTACTGGGGCTCAACCCAGGTCCTTCTTACTGAGCTCTTTTCTTAAGACGAGACCTCATTAAGGTGTCCAGGCCGGACAACTTGTATCCTCCTGCTCTGCTTCCCTGAGCGCTACCACCATGCCAGGCTTCCTTTTCATTTTTAATTGCCAAAAGTTGTCCTCCTCAACCCGGTATTCTTTTCCTTTTTTTGGAGACTACCTAAATAGTCTAGGATGGCCCTTTTCTTTTTGAGACTATCTCACTATGTAGTCCAGGATAGGCTTGAACTTGCAGCAATCTCAGCCTCCTGAGTGCTGGCATGCACACCACAATGCCCAGAAGTTTTTACAGATAGTACACATTTTGACATATGCATGTAAGAACTGTGAAATCGCTGAATCAAGCTAATCAACTAATACATTACCTCACACACTTCTCATTTCTTTATGGCAAAAACACTGAAAATTTTCCCTTCTCTTTTTTTGCAACATTATGTAGCCTAGGCTGGCCTCAAACTCAGGTGATCCTCTTGCCTCAGCCTCCTGCACACCATAATGCCCAGCTCTCTTCTCAAAAAAAAGTTTTTTTGATACCAGGGATCAAACTCACGACCTTGTACTTGCCAGGCAGGCACTATACCACTGAGCGAAATTCCTGGCCCTTCTCTTCTCAATTTTAAAATGTACAACATGCTTATTTTTTTCAGGCTCCCAATAAGCCTCATGTTAGACTATGGGTGTGTGCGTGCTGGGCGTGAAACTCTGGAACTGGTACGTATTAAATACACCCCACCACACAGCTCCATCCCCAGCCCCACTAAAGGTCCCAACCCGGAAAGCTACACTGAGAACTTACAGTTCACAGATTTGCATATCTGATATGCCATCTTCCTGATGTGATCCAGGCAGAAGGGCAGAAACCCATTTTCCTTAATGAAGTCATAAGTACTAAGCCCCAGCAGTTCAAACACGATGCAAACATGACCGTGATGCTCAAACCACTCCAGCATCTGCACACAGCGGCTAGGAACACGAGAACTGAGTGAGTACTACTCTACACGGCATAAGCCCACCCCAGGCCTCTGTCCAAGCTCCAACCTAATACTTACAAAGCACTGCTGGGGTCCGTTGTGTTCAAGTGTTCCAGAACCTGAATTTCTGAGCGAGCAGCCTCACAGTATCTATCCACATTTTTAACTATTTTTACTGCTACATGTCTGCCTCCCCTGTGTTAAAGATTAAGTCTAAGTTAAGGTCTGAAACCAGTACATGTACACTTTCTCACTATAATTCAACACGAGGCAACTGCAACAGACTTTAAATATAATGCTGAGTGGCATATTCTCTTCATTTTGGGTTTTGTGGGCTACTGTCTATGTAGCCCAGGCTGGCCTTCTGCAAGTGACACACTGCAAAGCTGGGATTGCAGCTGGGCACTACCCCACCTGGCCTTGCAAACCCTTCACTAGACCACCACTCAAGAATTAGCCAAGTCCCTTTGACAATGTATCAACAGTTCTAGTTCAACAACCACAATGGGACACCAATTCCTCCGGTTAAGGACCCAGCAGTTCCTTCCCGCTCCCCATCCCTGTCCCTGTCGGAGATGACTGCAGATCTCCCTCTGGCCAACAGGATCCAAAAACACAGGACACAGTGGTGGCAAATACAGAGCATTGGGTCTTAGCCTCCCCAGCCTCAGGTCACTTGGGAAGCCGGGATCAACAGAGGGCCTCCTCAGCTGGCCGAAGTTTTAACCTGAAGTTTGATGGACATAGATAATGAATCTTAGGACATCAACCTAGAAGAGCTTCAAGGCTGAGCATGCCTATAACCCCAGCACTTGGGAGGCTAAGGCAGAAGGATCCTGTCAATTTGAGGCCAGCCTGGGGCTACACAGGGGAGTTCAAAACCAGCCTGAATTACAGTGAGACTCTTGCAAAAAAAAAAACAAAGTAAGTAAGTGAACAAATAAACTGCCCTGAAAAGAACTGGGGTGAGCAAAACTTCAAAGAATTTCAATTTAAAACAAAGACTGGGAAACACAATCTAAAGGGGGTGGGTGGGTGGGGGGATATGGCCAGGAGTGACAGGGCAGCCTGGAATCCCAGCACCAGGAAGCCCAGGCAGACCACAAGCTCAAGATGGCTTTGAATATAGCTGGACCCGCTCTCTATAATTATTTATAAAACACAAAGTACCTTAACTGGAGCTTCTTAGAACCAAGTCAAAAACAAAAAACCAAGAGACTAGAACCACCTCAGGCAATTCCTGCATATGAAACTTACGCTCTATGATCAATGCACTCCACCACTTTCCCAAAAGCTCCTTCACCTAAAGTAGCAACAATTTCATCTAAAAGAGAAATGGATCTCAGTCATATTGGGAAGTGGAAATTACGTACTTATTCAAAATCTATCAATGCATATTATTCTAGTTGATGTTACAAATTTCCTTACCGCTAGATATTTACTTATTGGTCAACACCATCAAAAAACATGACTATTTTTAGGTCTAACTTCATCTTAGGCTAGTTTATTAACTTGATTTACTGTTCTGAAGTTCCGTACAACAAATATTAAATTTCTAAAGAAAGCAAAAAAACACAACCCCCCCACCAAAAGAAACAGAAAACCAAAATAAAAAAGAGAAAGAAAAAAGATCTTCCAAAGCCCTGAAATCTTAATCTATATATAGATTATGTTATCTGAAAAGTTAAAAAGTGTTGAAAAATATTCTATACATCTTGCTCTTAGAACGTCTCCACTCTGACAGATCAGGTGACCCTCCTCATCATCCTCTACACTCCTGGGTCTTTTCCTTCGGTGGCTCTTCTGGGAACGGCAAGTGGCGGCACCGAGATCATCCAGCCAATCAATATACCCGAGTGAATTCAGGGCAGAATACGCAATTCATTCAGCGGGGAGACATTCAGGCATTCAGATACACGCCAGGCCACAAACGGTTGGCAGGAGCAATTTCAAATTCAGTCCCCAGAAATTCACAGGGCACATAGTTTATGTTAACAGGAGAAAAACATGGCAAGGAACAGATTTTCAGATAAGATACTCAAAGTGGTAAGGCAACAAAACATAAATACAATTGTTTTTCTTAAAAAAAAAATGCTTAGTTGTAGCATTCACTGAAACACTTTTAAGCTTATAGTGTCTTAAAATATAAAGTTGCAAAACTGTAGGATGTAATATATACTTGTTAAAGAGATTGTGGCCAAATTAAGATTTCCCAGCTAATTCAAGGAAACAAACATTAAAGCAGTAAATAGAATCAATGTTTTAAATTTTGGAAAAATATTTAGTATACAAGTTTAATCTTACATTATTACACGCTATCTCAATTGATCTCCAATTACTAATACATAACCAACACAGTTTAAATGTTATAGTTTGCTCAATGAAAGATTAGAGAACATGATTTTATTTGCACTAATCTTTATCCAAAAACAGAATGCCTGTTCTACTTTTTATTGGAGAGTATAAACTCAGTAAAGCAATCAGATTTATTAAACTGCCATAAAAATCCTTTCAAAGTAGCTTGTAATAACTGTAAATTACCTCCATTATTTCACTGGAATAAAAATTAGAATGCATTTAATAATTAGGTCTACCAGTCTGAGACTACTGTATTTCAGGAATTTTCTAGCCAATACATAGAACAAAATCAAGTCCCATGTTGAGGTGACTTTCTCTTAAACAGAATATTCTCAAACACAAATTGAAGTCTCCTTGTTCCACATTGGAAAATAAAATTTTCAAAGAGCTCATACCGCGTGCGATCGATGATGAGAAGTACTGTGGTGAGTCCTGTGTTTACTTTTATAACTACTTCCTCCACTTCTACCAGAGGACTTGCTACTATGGTTCTGATATCTGCTTTCATGGTCTCGATGGCGAGGTCCAGAATCCCATCCTTCACAGTAGTCATTTCTGTATTCATCAATGTAACGTCGACTATGATAATCCTTCTCATTTATAGATCTGTTTTCCAAATAATAGCTGTATAGAAAAATTATTTTCTATGTATTACACTAAAACCAAACCATTGAAGATTCTTTTGGGGGCAGTGGTCTCACACACTAATGCCAATGAGCTAAACCATAGATCCCTCAAACCAACCTCTCACAGGGCAGTGGCACAGCCTATAATCTTAGCAGGGCAATTTAGCTGTTTACAAATGTGACAAGTTATCAAAATCTCCCACTAAAAAGAAACACAAACCACATGTGGTAGCCTACGCCTTTAATCCCAGCACTCAGGAGGCTGAGGCAGGAGGATCCTTGGGAGATCATGGCTAGCCTGGGATATGCAGTTCATTCAAGGCTGGCCTAAGCTACACAGGGAGACCCTGTCCCAAAAAGGCTAAGCAGTTACTTACTTTTAACTGATGACCACTTTTACTGTGAAAATGCTTTTCTACTAAGAGACCCTGTCCTTTTCTAAAGTGATCTTGAGACTCGAGCCCGGGCCAGGAGCAACCACCCAGCAAACACCTCTCACCTGTCCGAAGCTTTCGAGGAATCGAACCTGCAGCGCTTGATCTCCCGCACGCTGCTGTGCGACCTCCTCTTTCTCTTGTGGCTGCTGCTGCTCCGCCACCTCCCATAGTCCCAGCCCTTGTCGTCCCAGTCCGTGCAGTAGGCTCTCTTCGAATGTCTCATCTAGGGAAGGGCAGGTTCCCGTTAAATCCACCCCCACCGGATTGCATCACAGCTGTGGCTCTGCCAAGTGCGGCAGCCTCGGCCACCCAGAAGGCTGAGGCCGCAGCACTCCAAGGTTGAGGAAACCCTCGGCGATTTGCCGAAACCCCGGCTCTAAACGAAATACAATAGCCGGGCGTGGTGGCGGAGGCCTGTAAACCCAGCACTCGGGAGGCCGAGGCAGGAGGATCGCTGTGAGCTCGAGGCTCAAGGCCCGCCTGAACTAAAAGACTCGGAAGAAAGACAATAAAACAGGCCCCACCCCAGGGCCGACCACCACAACCAAAGGCAACCACCCCGCTGTGAGCTACCAAAGCTTTTCACGATCGCAGCTCAGGCGCCGTCTGGACTCGATCCGCAGGCCCTGCGCCGTCCGCCGAGACGGAACAAGCAGCAAGGCCGCGCCTGCGCCTCCTCCTCGCGCCGGCGTCGAGCCAGGCCCGGCCCGGGACGCCACACCCCACCCTCTCGGTCTGCTCCCCAACGGGACGCCGCCGAGTCACATAGGCCCGGCCGGCTCGCGGCGCTCCCGCCCTCGGCGCGGTCGCCATCTTATGCCGCAGCCGCCGGTGCGCCGCCATCTTGGGCTCGCACCGCCCCCGCCTCTCGGCAGAGCCCGCCGCGCCCCGCGGGGGACCGACCGTACCGCGCACGAGCGCCCTGCGCGAAGACGGCGGTGGAAGGTCGGGGAGGGGACAAGAAGGGGCTCCCACCTTACTGTGCTCCAAAGACCGCACGCCAGGAAACGAGGCTCGCAAAGCGACCCGCAAACCACCCGTCCAACCGCGAAGGGCGCTGTCCACAAAATGGAGCTGACAGTCGTGATGAGGGCGTGCCCGAAAACAGCTGAGACGCGGGGGGGGCGGGGCGATTTTTGTCTTGTGTGCGCCGGCGCGGGGGCGTGGGGCGGCCATTTCGACCCTTGTGCGCAGGCGCGGGGCGGGAGCAGGCCGTGTGGGGCTGTGTGCGCAGGCGCAGGGCCGGCCTCCAGGAGACGGAAGAAAGGATAGAGCGGCGCGAGCCATATTGACTTTGGGGTGATGCCTGGACGAAAAGATGAGAGTCCTCCGTGCACAATGAAAACCAACTTTGTCAACATTGGAAGCAGGAACAAGTGAAGGATGTTCCTTGATTACCACCACTAAAACTATGCTTTTAAGAAAAGTACAACAAATGGCTACGGTGGAAACTGTTCAAATTGCTAGCTGTTAGAGAAATGCAAACTGACACCGCTAAGGTTCCGTCTTCACTCGAGAGAGACTGGCTTTCGTTAACGAGTAACTGCGAGTGCTGTAGAGACTCGCTGTGAAGTGCTGTGAAGGTTAGGGGAGGGACACTGGAACACTTAGCGGAATGTCAACTATTCTGGAAAAGCACTGTGGCAATTCCTCAAAAACCTCATACTAGGATCCTGGCGTGGTGGTGCAAACCTGTGATCTCAGCATCGGTGACTTCTAGGCCAGCCTAGGCTATAAACTGCCTCGTGAGATGAAAGCCAGTCTAATCTAGGGGGACCCTACGTGTCTTCCCAAAAGAGTTAAAGATATAATTGAAAGGGTTGTTGACCCAGACCGGACACTGTAGCCAGAAAAAGCCTCAGCCAGAATTAGGGAGCTCCTGTCTCCCCCCGCCCCTAGATTCTTACCTGTAACCCTGTATCCCCCCAGCCTTCGGAATCTGCCCCTGGCGCCAAAAGTGTGCCAATGAAATACCTGTGGATCTCTAATGGCTTTAGGGCACTGCCCTAAGCTTAGGCTACTTATATTCCCCCACGGGGCCACATGTCCGCCAGAGAGATCGCCAGGTTTCAGCTGCCAGTCATTTCCGTGTTCTCAGAATAAAGGCCTCTTTTGTTTTATACTTTTCATCTTTTGGAAATATTTTTCATCCTCTGGAAATAATCCTATCAATAATGACTTGTGCATACACATTCAGTATTATTATTTTTTTTTTTGTCTTTTTTGAGACAGGGTCTCGCTATGCAGTTCAGGCTGGCCTTGAGCTTACCAGCCCAGGCTGGTCTCGAACTCGCAACCATCCTCCCATCTCAGCCTCCCGAGTCCTGGGATTATAGGCGTGAGCCACCACGCCCGGCTAGTCGGCTAGTCATTCGTTCAGTGTTTTGGAAAAACCAGGACCGAATCGGTTGGAAGACACAGGCACCAGAGAGTCTGTAAGGCAACTCCATTGTGTTAGTGACTTGGGGGTGGGAGGCTGAGTTTCAAATCACCAGCCCCAACTGAGATGAAACAAATTTACATGCATTTGGTAGTTAGGAAGTACAAAAGCTGATAGCAGGTTATATGATTGGTTCATGAGTTAAGTCATACGTTGTCAGAATTAACTAAAGGGAATTGTTTATGATGATGGGAAATTCTGGGAAAGACAGTGCTGAGCAGAGCCGATAGCGTTAAGCCGATAGTGTCCTTGGCTTGGCTATTTTCTCCCAGGTGGAAAGTCTTCTTGGTTTTGTTGTTGTTCAGAACCAGAGCTGAACTTAGGACCTCACACTTTGCCAGGCAAGCCCTCACATCACTGAGCTAAATTCCCAGCCCCCAGGTACAAAGTCTTTGAAACATTAGAAAACTGGGCCTGGAGATTTAGCTCTGTAGCATAAGCGCCTGGCTGGCAAGTGCAAGGTTGCGATTTTGATCCCTGGTAGCGAAAAGAAAAAAAAATTGCCTTTACAGTAGCACAATTTATAAGAGTTTACTTAATGTTGGAGACCGCCTATGTGTTCAACAAATGATTAAGTAAGATTATTATAGGGGCTGGAGATTTATTTCAGTGGCATAAGTGCCTGTCTGGCAAGCACAAGGTTGTGAGTTCCATTCCCAGCTGCCAAAAAAAAAAAAAGATGTATTTATAGACAACAAACTACTACTCTATCATAAAGGATAAATGTTAAAAAAATGGGTATGAGGTATGAAGAGCCAAATATCTGGGTATGGTCATGCTGGTAATCCCAACAGCTAGAAGGCTGAGGCAGGAGGGTCGCTGTGATTTCAGTGCCAGCCTAGGATACAAAGTGAGTTGAGGGCCAGTCTGAACTGCATAGTGAAACTGTCTCGAAAAGATGGAAAAAAAGTGAAAGATAAGCACTAGGAAAGAGGGATATAGATCTTTCAAATGGAAAGAGGATTAAGAGAGGGTAGGGAGGAAAAGGCAATGAAAAGAATAGAGATATGTGTATGTACCAGCCCTGCACAAGAATGTAATTGTCTTAGTGGCCTTTTTTTCCTTGTTGGGATAAAATACCCAACACCAAAGTTAAAGAAGGGGAGGTTTATTTAGCTCACAGCCTTCAGAGGCTTCAGCCTGTAATCAGCTGGTTCCCAAGCTGGCTTTGCACAGGGGCAAGCAGAAGACAGCAAAAGCAGCAAGAGCAAAGTGGGAACAGAAAACCTCTCACGTTGCAAGCAGGCGACCACTTCCTAGGCTGGGTATAGCAATCATGCCATCTCTGGGCTCTCATTCTGTTACAGGCAGCTGAGCTACTTAGAAATGTAGGCCGTCAGACAGGGCTGGGCCCTCAAGCCCGCACAGAAGGCCAGATGTGTGGTGTGGTGACTTTGGAGGAGACATACCTGCTGTGGGCCAGATCTCAGGACAGAAGGCAAAATAAATGCAACCACACTCTTAAGTCTAATCCTTAGGGATTAGGTACGATCACCTTGAGAAGCCAGGAGTCTCCATCCAAACTCCCATAGGAAAAGTCACTGGTCTGTGAAGAATGCTCACTTGCTGCGTGCCTGAACAGTTAAATGACCACAGCTCTGTCCCACCTCATGCCATTTACCCCAGGAGTTCCCAGTTCCCCCACTTTAGGCCCCGCCTCACCTCATGGTTTTACTCTATAAAAACCCCTAGAAAATACAGAATCTTTGGCAACCCACTCAGGACCCCTGTTTCTCTTTCAGACAGAAGCTTGCTTTCTCTCAATAGTATATTCTCTTAACCTCCTTTGTTCCTAAAATTCATTTGGCAATTTTAGAGAACACAAACTTGTACCGGACATATAGGTCTGGAGTTTTGTTCCCCTATATAAATTTTGCACAGGCTCAGGATGTTTAAGAAGAGAGGATCTTTGCAACCTACTGAGTCCCTTAAATTTCCAAATTCAAAATTGACACAGCGTATCAATCGTTATAATAATTACGTAATGCGGGGCTGGGGATTTAGCTCAGTGGCATAAGTGCCTGCCTGCAAGCAGGCAGTCGCGAGTTCGATCCCTGGTACTGATAAAAACGAATAAGACAAAAAAAAATTACATAACGCAAATATACAAAAGAATTAAAGATAGCTCACCACTACACAATGATCCATGCATACCCATGTTCATAGCACAGATCCTGGAAACCACCTATATATGGATCAATAGGCGAATGGCTGAAGGGAACACTGTTTTTGCACACAACGGAATACTAGTCTGGTGTAAGGGATAAATTCAGTAAATACTTAGAGAAATGGCACTCTGACATCATACTGCTGAGTGGAACAGATCAGACAACTGAAGTACATGTCATCAGGAAACCAGGTCCTAAAACCAGGTGTTGTGGCACACACCTATAATCCCAGCACTGGGAGGCTGAAGCAGGAGGCCTGCTGCAAATTTGACATCACCCTGGGCTACAAAGTGAGTTCAAGGCCAGCCTGAACTGCATAGCAAGACCTGTCTCAAAAAAAAAAAAAAAAAAAAAAAAAAAAAACAACCTAAAAACCAACTAAAAAAAAAGGAAGCCAGGTCCTGCAGGAGGGCAAAAGGAAGGAGACTCACCCAGTTTTTGCCACACTCTAAAATCAGTTTGCTAAATGTCTCTTTTATAGAGTTCAGTTCATCCTTTCAACTTGACCTGAACTTTGGGGATGGTAGGCACAGTGAAATTTCCAATCAATCTGTAATAACTGAGCAACTTTATTAGTGATGGAAGCTATGAAAGCTGGGCCATGGTCAGACCTCATAGATAAGGGAAGGCCAAAACTAGGAATTATTTCACATAAAAGCCTTTTGGCAACAATTGAGGCCAATTTGGTGTTTGTTGGATATCCCTCAGTCCAACCGGTGAAAGTAACCACCAAAACCAGCAAATACTTATGTCTATGTGGTCCTGGTTTTCCCATGTCCGTGAAGTTAATTTTCCAGTGTTCTCCTGGAAAAGTTCCCTGCTATGGAATTTCCTCTGAGATAGTGGTGACTTTGGCATTTACTTGTAGACATTGTGGGCATCTTTGACTGACTTCCTTTGCTTAGGAATGAAGTACCTGTCCCAAAGCAACTCAGCCAGTTTTGAGCCTCCTAGGTGTGAGGCCTGGTGGATTTGAAGAATCAAGTCTCTTCCTAAGGCAGCGGGTACTAAAATTTGTCTGTCTGGCAATTGAAACCAATTTTCAGGGGCCCTTTTTTTGCTCTCAGTTGTCTAGCTAGCTCCTGATCTGACTTGGAATACACCAGTTGGGGCAAACAAGGGGGTGGCAGAACTGGCAGCAAGTGGGCCATAGGCTGTACAGATGACTTAGAGCTGCCCCTGGAGCACTCCTGTCAGCGAGTGTGTTTCCTATCAAGACTGGATCTTTTTTCATCTGGTGGCCCCTACAATGCATCACTGCTGTAGATTTGGGGAGCCAGATATCAGCTAACAAGTCCAGGATAAAAGCAGCATTCTTAATCTTTGACTCAGCAGAGATTAGGAGCCCCCTCTCTAGATTGCCCCATGTACATGAATGGTAGCAAAGGTGTAACAGCTGTCTTTGTAGATATTTGCTCTTAGATTCTTGGCCAACTTTAGGGCCTCCATGAGGGCAATGAGTTCAGCCTTTTGAGAGGAAATGCCTTGATCCAGGGGTTGAGCCCAAATTACTTATGTCTGGAGTGGTTACG